GAATTACCTGGGTCAAGCCCATGGCTGTCATGGAAGCCATGAACTCCTGCGCCCCATCAGAGCGTTCACCGAGCGATTTTAAAGAGATTTAAAATAGAATTATATTATGATGCTTTAGTTGTGTTACTAACACATGTTGGTATAACAGAAATGATAAATTCAAATCTTTAATATATTACAGTGTGATGTAGTTATGAAGGCTTTCTAGATAATTTTTGAATATTATGAAATGTAATTAATATTTTTGGCCATTATTCATAAGTTACTTGGGTTTCAAAATCTGTTAAATGGGAATTATTTTACATATAGAAGTCAACTGAAGAGTTTCAGGAGACTAAAAGCATCAAGGCATGTAATTTTTAGGTACTTAGGAAAGTAAGGAGCAGATAAGCAAATATTATAATGTGGAGATTTCAGTTCCTGAATGCCACAATACAGAAATATTTACATAGTAGTACCTATGACATACATGAGGAGACAAAACAGCAATATTTTTTTTTATTGCTGGCCATTCTTTTCAAGCTGCTAATCCATCTGCAAAGCAAATAGGTCATAATAAACTGTATATGGATTAAAGTAATTTACTGGTGTTTTGCAAAAATTCTGACATTAGCAATTATACATAATTCTGTTCAATTGCCAGAATTGGGGTTTAATTAAAACAATTTTATGTATTCTTATTCTTCTTTTCTTATATGAACATAACTAGGGTAAAAATCTTTCACTGAATACTGAAGAACTTTACTTTTTGTAACCTTGAAATTATATTATAAGGAGGCAATCTTATTAAAGATTGGCTGCAGGTAAAAAATAAAAAAGCAGAAACTTTGCCAAACCTGTAATTGATATTTTGAGGCATTATGTCTTTTTAACTAAAATGTCAAAACAATATATGTAAATATATTTTACAAATATTGATAATTAATCTGGTGCTATTGTGTGTATATAATGAATAAATACTGATAACTAATACAAATATAGCACCATTCCACCAATTTTAAGACTTACTTAAAATAAGTTATTTTAAGCAGGACGCTCTGAATAGTTGATTAGAAGGGAATTCAAAATATTGTTTTGTTATTCTAACATTCTCATCAGCATAATTCTGTTAACAAGCTTTTGATTTAATGCTAGGAACTAACACCTTTTGACTTTCCTGGGCCTTTTATTTTTTTTTAAACTATGAACAGAGCTATTGGTTTGTATAATAAATATAATTGACAAATACACTAGAATCTATACATTTCATTTTTGTTGATTGCAAGATTATTTGTTTTATTATTTATTTACTGTATATAACACCTTCATTATTTTTACTAGTAACTCAAGGCAATGAAAGTATCAAACACATCTTCCTCCTCCTATTTTTCCCACAACAACAACAATCCTATGAGAGTGATTGGCCCAAACTTACCCAGCTGATTTTCA